CCCCCCCCCCCCCACCCAGCAAAACCAATGTATGTTGATTCACGGAGCGCTTAAGAGAGACGACTGAAAGGAGTAACGACATTTACTATTTGACAGGGGTGATCGTGCGGATTCAGCAGTGCCCATCTATGGTTTTATCTTTCAGGAAGTAGCTGTACCTCTCGGCAGCGCGCCAAGGACCTCGGGTAGTCATGATAGCTCCACACAACACCAAGAGAGCAGGTCTGATGAGAAGACAGAAAGCAAGGACAAAGAGGATGACGAAGGAACAGAAGAAGTTGACATTTCCCATGAGCCAAATAATGCAACACAGCCAAATGAATATCTGGACAGAGAACCAAATGACAAGAACCTTGATGATGATTTTAGAAGTACATGCATCGCCAATGAAAACGAAACATCGCCGTCTGATGAAGATGCATCACCCGATGCATTAGGAGTGTCGAAGGCTAAGCCAGAGACCGAGTGCATCATAGCAGTTGAACCAACCAAGGAAATAAAGAAACCATTTAAACACGTCTGGCAGATATTCGGAATGTACGCCTCTGTTGTAAAGGAAAACCAGGCCAAGAACCTCCCAGGCGTGGCGCTGAAAGTTGGCAAAGAACTGAAAGCGGTGGAGAAAGAACTCCACGAACGGTACAAAACACGGAAAGAGTTGCAGTATTTCGCCAAAATCGGTCTGACCACTAAATGTATGAAATGTTGTCTAGTGAAAGCCAAGATCAAAGATTTCCTATCAGTGTGGCAGGATTCAACAGGAGCACTCGCTCTGTCTTTACTTCTCCGTAGACTTAAACGGCAGTTGGAGATAACTAAATCATATAACGAAACAGAAAGCATGGATCTTCACAATCCACTAGGAAATACGAAGGCAGAAATGGTTTGTAGTTTTACGTTTTTTTTTCTGGATGTAGTAATTATCCAATGAGCGTTAAATCGACAACTAAAGAATATAGCTGTGTATTTGTGCACAATTAATTACACAGAAAATATCATCTTAATGCTACAGACGACACGTTACATACTAACGCATACGTAGTATAAGGTAGCTTTTAATGAGTGAACGAAACTAATGTTTAATCCTGAATCTGGCACTTCTCATGAACGATCAGTATCACGTAATTTTGTAAGCAAGCCGTCAACTGCCGCAAACATGTTATGGTAAACAAAATGTTCTAAAATTCTGTCAAATTTTAGAAATACGAAGATATTAAATGTCAGATATGCATACTTGAGTCTTTAATCAATCAGTCAATAAAACACGCTTAATTTTGATACTGCTCTTGCGGTGCCTTTGGTTCTAAACTGGCCCTATGAAGTTCTCAGTTTTCCGATTACAAATTACAGGTTGCAAATTTGGCAGGGAGCGGGGCAGAAGCGCTCGACCGTGCTGACGAGTTCGGTTTGACTAACGTAGGTGAACACATCTTAGAAGACGCCCTAGATCTAGGAGACGGGCTACCGTACATTAAGACGGTCCTGTCCATCATACGCAGCGTGTATCGGATATTTAAAGCCAACGCAACGCTGTTAAATGACGCCATGGACTTACTCCGTACCATCAGGAATGTTGAGGTGATTCTTGGGGGTACCATCATCGCTAAAGACGACAAATCCGCGTTCCTCCTCGAACAACTGATGGACGTCCTAGACCAGGCGGAATTCTACGTCATCCAGTGCATCATGCCTGACCAGAACGCCGTTGCCAAGGTACTCAAGGCCACATCGCGGGCGGATACGCTGCAGCAGCTTAAAGAGGACATAGTAAAACAGCTTAACCAGGCTATGTTCGCTGAGACCATGAAACAGAGCGAGGTCCTGCAGACGCTAGACCAGAAGGCGAACAAGATGCTGGAACTGAAAGTGACATTAGAGCAAATTGTAAGTACCACTGTCACAATTAGTGCTTTTGGAGGATTTTGTACTAGAGTTTCACATTGTAATACACGGGTAAAGGTTTCTGTGGTAATTATTTCTAATAGAATGATTTTCATCTGAATTTTTAACAATGCAACCACAAGATGGTTGGCAAAATAAGGTTATTTTAAAAATATTACAGACCTAAACCAGCTCTTCTTATTGTTATTTAAGGAGACGAACCAGCGAAATCAAACCAATGATATACAGGAAATGAAAGAGAGCCTGCAACAAATAATGGAGGGACTGAGTGAGTAGTTTAAGTTTAAAATCACCCAATTTAAGAAATATTTGGCCCTTTCTGTTTGGCAATATTACCAAACAATCTTTCAAATCGAAAACTAGATGTTAACGATGCCTTATTGTCTTGACTGTGATTTTCATTTCAAAAGTTGTTTCTGGTGACAAAACAAGATGTAAAGCAAATGACAAATAATATAAAACACAGTACGTCAGTATGAATTGACATTTTATTTTTGCCTCTCACACCAGCACCGTCCAAGTACAAACCGGCCAATGGGAATTATCTGGAAATCGGCCCCTACAGAGTGCAGGTTCAAGGTGGGCGCCATTTTAAAACTGCCGAGGGGGAGTACGTGGAGCTAGGCAGTGGATATAACTATCGTCTGCTACTACGGAATGGCACGAAACGAAAATGCCAAGCTGAAGTCCATATAGACGGCCATAAAATCGGTTTGTATTGAATTCGATGCTCATTAAAAATAGTTAATAGTTTGTTCTCTATTTCTCTTTTCGAGTGCTCAAATATAGCTTACTTTGGTCTTGTTTCAGTTGTGTTGGGCGTTATGGAAATATTCAAATCACAATTTGTAAATACTCTTGAATTTTTTTTTATGCATGCAGTAGAAAAAGGTGAAAAAGAATCTTTTTATTTTGTGATACTTTACCACCTCCATTTTTAGCATAAAGGTCTATTTTTCATGCCGGTGTAACGTGACAGATAGTCCCCCATGATAGAGAGTCCGCTTCCCATTCATTTGTACTGGTAAGACTCGCCCTAGATTTAAACCCACTTACGTCAGGCTAACCCTAACAATTATAACTAAATGGAGGGCGGACTTTCTGTTACACGGAGTCTCAGTTTCTTCACACTGTTCTGATCCAACTTAACTGTGCATATAAGTTAGTGTTTCTGGGAAAAATATTAAACCTTTAGCTCTGTTTTAGGGGTGTTTGCGTTGCTGGGCGAGGAAGAGTACGTAATAGAAAGACCCGTGGGTATTCAGCGACGTTTCATGTTTTACCGGACCACTACGGGAGCTGCCATAGCGAACTCGGGAATTGAGGCCAAGAGAAGAGAGAATGGCGTTCTGGAGTGTGTATTTACGCCGGAGTTGTTATACACGGTACTCAATATTCTTTTTAAAAGAGCTTAAAGAGTTGTATAATTTGTTGGCTAGAAAATGTCCAAAATACCTTCAGGCCCGTAGCCAGCAAAAGGGGGGGGGGGTCTTTTTCTGAAAAAGTGGACCTTTCGCCATGAAACCTTCGAGTACCTAGGTGAAATTTTACCCAGAGAGGAGCTTTTCCCCATCAAAAAAGGGGGAGTCTTTCGAACCCCTCGAACCCCTCCTGGCTACGGGCCTGGCCTTTAGGATACATGTGCTCATTTTATTTGGCTGTTTATCACATCCACACAGGATTACGTTCGTATAGTTTAAATTTTAACTTTCATTAATAATAAGTTTTTAAAATATTGGAAAAAATGTCCACAGAAAAAGTGGGCAAACTGTAAATGACCTGCTATCATTCTCTATCAGCATGAATGAGATGCAAACCTGATATTTTACGTAGAACCAACAAAAAAACGAGCTAAGATGTTAAGAATTTTATAATTATCAAAATACGGGTATATTTGTATTTGTATATTTATATTTGTATTTGCATATTTATATTTGTATTTGTATATTTATATTTGTATAAAAAAATACGCAAACAGTGTGGCATTATATTGTTATGACAAAATATACCAGTGCTTAACTTATTTCTTTTATTCTCTAAAATGTTGCAGTTTAAAGGACGCTTAAGGAACTACAAAGGTGAACTTTCGGAGGTGCACACGGTGGACTTAAGTCCTGACCAGCAAATGGAGGACTTTGTGCGGTCAGTTATTGCGTCCAGCACGGGGTTTGAACAGTCTGCAGATGCCTACTTGCTCTTGTGTGGGGAGAGATATTGGCATATTGACAACTTCGATTGGGGAGTGAAGCAACTGTACAAGTGAGTACTTTTCAAGAACGCGTTTTACTTTTTATATCAAAGTAATGTGAAAACATCGACTTATTTGGACTTTGGAACGTTTTCCATGTAAAAAAGGAAAAGGCCCCTTTTTAGGCGTGAGGAGAATATATCTATTTCATTTTTACTACATTTTTTGAAAAATTTGAACTTTGAATATCTTATATTTAGGTAGAATCCTGAGACTGGCGGGAAACTTCGTCGTAATGAATACAACCAATTTTTTGTATCATTTTTACGTTACTAGTAATTATTAAAACTGGTTATATGAAAGAGGTGTTGCTTAGTACTGGCTGGCTACCTCATACATGTATCTTCACCCAGTTCCTCGTAAAAGAAAAAAAAAACATTCTTATAACAGAATACTTTTTGCCTTGTAGTTATTGGAAAGGCACAGCTTCTGAGTACCTCCTGTTTATAGAAATTGCCAAGGAGGTGCACATTATCAATCCTATAGATGACGAGAATGTGGAGAAGGAATCGTTTACCGTCGGATATACGGCTGACGTGAAGGAAGAAGTGAAGGCAAGGTTTAACATTCCTAGCTTGGAAGACGTGTCAATCAGTGACACAAAAAAAGCTGATGAGTGTGAGATCTACACCGTCCGAATACTGAAAGTGAAAGTGAAAGTGGTCAATCCCCCGGATACTCTCACATTGTACTTCTTTAAGAGCCAGGACGTGAAAGAGATGGTCGAGAAGGAACTGGCCATTAATGAAAGCAGTGACCAGAGCATAGAGATACACCACACGAAAGATTCAGTACATGAACATTTTGTGTCCGACGTCACCGTGGTCGTGAACAAGGACATCACACTCCACGTGACTGCCTTTGACGGCAGGCAAGATGACGTTGTGGTCAAAACGTACTCTACAATCGAGCAGTTGATGTACCAACTTAAAGAACAGAACCTCGTGGAGTCCGACAGCGACGGTTTCAAGCATTCTCATAAAGAGTGCCAAGTAAACGAAGTGGAGTACCGCTGGACGGAATCCAAGTCTATGTACCTTGCTCTGGAAGGCTTCTCGAATGGCTCCACAGTCGTTGTAAAACCTACCATATTCAGCTACACCATCCGATACAGAGGTAAAGGGTCAGAGGAGGAGCTTTCTATTAAGATTGAGGCGTATAAACGAGTGGCAGACCTGGTAGAACGGACTGAGAAGGAATGCGATGAAAAGGGCCTAAATCTCCCGAAAGGATTTTTCTTAGTAAGAGGCGACAGCGAGATTCTAGACACAAGTATGGCCTTGAGGTGAGTTCAATCAAATTTCCCAAAAAGTTGTGACTCACTTTTAATTCTATTCTGACGACCAATATTCTGTGCCGTTTCTGTATATTTCTGTATTCCGTCCCATGCCATTCTATGTGGACAGGCTCCTTTAAACGGTGTTTATAAGGTCATCCTCCAAATATTTTCAGAGAACTCGGTGGCAGTCAAGATTTGACAATATTGGCTCCCCAATCAGACGTAAGCATCGTAGAGTATGACACACTGGAAGAGATCGGTACAGTCTCAGACGTCACGGTGGAAACAACTATACAGGAACTTCTTGATAAGATACGCCAGCTCTTGGGAAAACGGGTGAGGCAATTTTTATATTCCTTTTAATATGTCGCTTTAGTGTTGATGTGGCTTTGTTTTACTCATTTTTCGAACATGTTACATCAATTCATATTTTGGTCTATTGAAAAACTATTTGTTCCATTTTTATGCAGAGCTGAACACGTAGGCCTATGCCTTTTTGATGATAAGCTTCTCGTACGAAAATGACAAAAACTCGTAACTTAATAGATCTTTTTAACATGTAGATGTTATTTATCATTAATTTTGTGTTTCTTTTCTTGGGGTGGTAAATAAAATTTATTACAAATAAAGCAGATGTCTGATTCGGACCCTCCATAAACCTGTGTGTCTTCGATAAAAGATCATATCATTAAATTAACTGTAGATTTGGCCTACAAACATATAGTATGTTTTGTTACATAGGAAGGCAACCTGGATGATGCTAGCGTGGAAGAAAGGCACATCTGTATAGAGTTCGAAAACAACAACAGCTTCACCACTTTTTATAACACGGTGAGTAGGCCCTATATTTGATAAGCGGAACCTTTGTTCTGCCATAGCACGGGGCAAGGAACCATATGGTGTGACAGGCCTACCATAAATCAATGATCGTAGACGCTGAAGGGCAGACGTATGTTACTTATTCTCTGCGATATTTTATGATAAAGAGATAATCAACTTTTGAAACGGTAAACTGGGGGACAGACATACCAGTAGGCCTACATATTGAAATAGGCAAGACGCCATTTGTAAAATTTGTGTAGTGTATTAATTTATATGATGAGTAAAAACGACCAATTTTTCCCCTGTACCCTTTTCTGCAATTAATATAGCGACTGTTATCTCAACTTCAGATGATCAACGACAAAGATGATCTGAAAGACACGCTTCCCGTTTCCCTGCTGATTGCTGCTCCACCTACCGTCAAAATGATAGAATCTCGACCCATGGAGGTGACACTGGACATCTTCAGTGAAAACCTGTCCGGCTCATGGCAGAAGAAAGTGATTACAGAGTCCTGCTCTACCGTGGCTCTGGTTTTAAGGAGACTGATAGATGGCGCTGTGAAGACGAGTGAAACTGGGAATGTAGTTCAGGATGAAAATGAGTACAAGCTCAGATTTCTAAAACCCGAGTGGCTTTTTATTCGTGGAACCAAAACAAAAATTCCATTTGAAAGACGCTGTTTAGCACAACTTGGTATCGGTCACGAGTCAACTATTAAGTTAACAGGTAAAGCATATGTGGCAGTGGCCTACTCTGTGAAGAAATACTTCTTTAGTTGTTCTGTGCAAGTTTTTATCACAATTTTGATATCGTTTCAGAATTTAAAATTTAACTGGAAATTGGCCTCTTTTATTATGCCTCAGCCATTTTCTTAAGTTGACATTAAATTTTGAAACTCTGTATTTTATTTTATTTTATTTTATTATTTTTTGTATGATCGCACGTACAGTGCCCTCTTACTTCCATAGTGTCCTCATACTACATTGTACTGTACGGTAGTATTTACTTCATACTTTTATATTTTCCAGACACATCTCTATATGAAATAGAAGAAATGGAAAAATTACAAGCAAAACTTAAAATGGAAATGGATGACCTAGATATGGAGTATGGACTTCATACTTAAAATATTAATGTGTTTCTTCTAGGATCCAAAATATTATATTATTTTGGATCCTAGGTTTCTTTAATAGAAGGCCAAGTCATTAAGAAAACGATGTCCTTTCAATTATTTGGATATTCCTAATTCTTTTACACTAAAATGCAGTGCAATAAAGTTTAAGCCTGTGGGTCGTAGTGTGTTCGGTGATGTGCCGATAAAGTCTATTTTTGATACTGTCTTCCTTACTGTCATAAAACTTATGTTGTTTTGCAGGAGGTTAAAGCGAAAAGAAAAGTTGTCACGAAGACTTAAAGAATACCACAGGGAGCTAGACGATCGGTAAGACTAAACTTTTCGTTTATTATAATTTTTGTCTTTAACTTCTTGTTAGATGTGGAACTTAAATGCAAGTCATTTCAAGAATGTGCATAATAGTGATTATGCTGTTGTTTAAAATCAATTTTATTAGACTTACTAAAAGTAAACTGCAAAACCTACAGTACAAAATGAATGTAATGTTTTTAATATAAAAGTGATATACTTATATCGTGTCATTCGACCTGCAAATGTATGCAGCTTATAGTTATATCAAATTTCATGTTCATAGCCAATATGATGGTTTCCCCAATTCTCACTGGCGCATTGATGTCAAATAAATTGCCTTACCTCACTACGGACAAATTTTTAGGGGATTGTGTCACCCGTCCGCTGTGCCCTTCGACTTTAAAATATTTGTATTTATACCAGCATTTTAATATGTCTCCTGATCTTTAGCCCACTTATAAAGATGAAAGCCGCCGAGCGCAAACTTAGATATATACTTGACGCTGACGAAGCACTCCACAGCATTAGTGACTATAGGGTATGTTCCGGTGCCACCACGCTGCAGGGAGGAAGCAGGCAGGAGTTTGAGCCGGTAGAACCCTTCCCGTTGGACCACTCTAATAGCGTTGTGTTAAGTTTGCGCATGGTAGCCAGGTACGTGTGCTTGTTTTATGGGTGGCGTTTACGACGGGAAGCCAGCTGCGCACTCTCGAATACGGAAAATGAGAGAGAGAGAGAGAGAGAGAGAGAGAGAGAGAGAGGAAGGGGGAGAGAGAGAGATCCACTGTAAAGCCAATAGCTTTCATGAGCGATTAGCACTTTTCACGCCACGGACGATATTGCATATCTTGGGACGCCCATCTCTTCTCGTAACGTTTCTTCTAAACATATAGACTTATTTTGAAAGAACATTTTGATTAAAACCGATTTATTATCATTACGTAAAATGCAGCAATAGACAATATTCTTATGCAAAATTGTGCTATTTGATCAAAGGGAATTTTTCTAGGTGTCCTTCAGTCATGTATTGAAAGGTTATCTGCCATTTTTTTCAGAGTGGGCTCGGAGTGCCCGTTGCCGCTAGATGACGAATGCATTCCACTGGCCTCGGTTCGTCTCCTGGACAAGCCCATCCACACTATGGTGCGACCAATAGATGGCACTACTGTCAAATGCGAAGCCCCGCCCCCTTTGCCTGATTGACAGTGTTATATATTTCCATCTCTTCTCAGTTTTGTGTCCAGTGGTTTTAAAAAGTATTTTGAAAAGCATTGTACGATATATATTCTCAACAGATATTTTCTTCCATTTGCAAGTGTGACTTTCGGGGCATATACAATGTATATCTACAGACTTTATCATGGCATCGCACATGCTCAATGTTCTCGCCTGGTGAGGACTTTATGTCAAAAATGCACTGAGGATGGAACAATTACCCTTTTTGAATCCTGATCCTACTGAGCACCTGTTGGATGTGCACATTGCAGAGGAGAACCAACCCCTCTAATACTCTGGAACATCTCCGTCTAGTTAACCATTAATAGATATTTAAAAAGTAAAAAAGACTTGTTACTTTTACTGAAAGCATGGCGCACTGCCTTTAGTACTTGGCACGAACACACTATTATCAAGTGTATAGTTAGGAGCTCGGTCTGGCGGTAATTTAAAATAAGAGTTACACAGAGAACATATAACTCTTTGATTTTAAATGGATTTAAATAAACGATAAAAGGTATGGAGATCTAAACCGGTGTTTTGTTTTTCTGTGCCATAAATCATGTTAGATATGGTATCAAGAATGAAAAGCTGGTATATATACAGCTGCAGTGTGATGATACAAAAAACACGTGAACTTGGAAGTGTGACAGCCTTTACGATAAAGAGTTAATTTATATATGAATGTGTTTAGATACTTTAATTATAGATTTTAAAAACGTCTTCATCATATCACGTTTAATAACTTTAAAACATTGAATATTTGTTAACCCCAAAGCTTGATAAGTTCACCATCAGTACATGACAGGGGTACACTTAAGGTTTCCTATCAAGGTTTATTATAGGATAAAATTGCTTTCTTCAAGTCGAATTTATTCTTGAAGAAAGCAATTTTATCCTACACCCGAATTATTGCTTAACCACACACATTCATGTGATTGTACATTTCGTAAAAATCACTTTGTTCTCACCTTAACCTAAGGTTTGTATATCTGCTACCAAGGCCAAATTATTAATTGGAACTTTTACGATAACTTTTCACAGATAATTCTCTGGCTATTTCTGCGCACTGTCCAGCGAGAATTTTTTGCACAGAATTCCAGAAATGATGTCATTGCTCATCTGGTCTATGGTAGAGGGTTACCACTGAAATGAGACGTAAGTGTTGTCAGGTGACACACTAGGCATCACAACATCGAGGAGTTGTCCACTCGATAGAACGGATTGCATATTAAAAGTAGGGTGCAGAGAGGCAGGAATAGCATTTATTTACGGTCGTATAGATTGCCTAAAAGATATAAACTGTAAACAAGAGTAGCAATGCTTTAAATAGAATCAGTTATATAACATCAGACGTCGGACCCCCGTTCTTCCGGAGATATACACATGTATCAAGCCTCAGATCGAAAGATCACTTTCTTTTGTTTTTAGAAAGGGAGTGACCACAAACAGGCACTATACTTGATGAATAATAAATGGTAGAAGTGGTGAATTGTTAGCTGCTGCCTATTCAGTTTAAGGATAGATTCCATATATAATTAACTTGAGCACGCTAACTAGACACGAGTGACCAGTGACAAACTTAAAAAGGCACTGACGTAAACAACTTGTTTTGATGTGCCTACTGTTAGTGATAACTACATGTGCGACAAAAATAGCATATATGATTTTGTTTACGAAATTCATTTCACCTGATGACAAACAAACATTGATGTCAGAGGACACACTTTTCAGGAGATACACTCTTCACCCCATTTCGTTTTGTCTTCACCCATACTCAGGTCGCCGTGACTTGCAAGCCACAACATATTGTTTTTGGTACGTCTACGAGACCGACCTCACTTTGTATTAATTATAAGCTGATTTGATATTTGAATGAGTGTGCACGTGCGTGCACTAGAGAGAGAGAGAGAAATTGAGACCAGTATAAATGTGTGTGTGTGTGTGTGTGTTAAATACTGATTTTTAGAAGTTTATTCCATAACAGCGGCAGAAGATGGTGACTGCAATCTTTTAAGAACACGGTGTGGCAATGCGCGTTTCTCTTTTGATTAATAAACCAAGCCTAAGTTGTCTCTATTATTTTAAAAAGACCCGCAGAAGAAAATGCCGAATGCGAGATCAAAACCCGAACCTTTGCCTTTGAGAAACAGTTTAAGTGGTATTTTTGAAGCGTTTGTGAGACAACCTTTTTCATATTGTGATTTTAACAACCTGCTTTTTAAAGACCAATCTAATTGTATTGTCTCAGAAATATTGAATCAAATGTAATTACCATCATTTCAAATCTAAAAATTAATGTTCGACTGAACTCACTTTTTTAAGACCAAAGCTTTCTGCAAAACATTGAAGATTAATTAAGGTATTTTTAAATCTATAAAACATGTGATTTATAAACATCCATGATAAAAGACAATATTGTCGCGATGTTTCATTTTTTGAAGCCTGCCATTGTTTGTGGTTCCATTAAAACCGAACCTTAATAGATGCTATGCGTCCAACATGAAGGTGTTGTTGACATGGACAAAAAAATTTTATAATGACATAAATGTTAGTTGAACTGTCCCAGGCTAGTTCTCTGCCTTGTTTTTAACTAACATAGTGTGGGTCAGTGCTTAGTGCAGGTGTACCTTCAGAAGATATCAAACTTTCAGGAGTAAATCTGTATGGAAGACTAGCCCCCTTAACTGATTCTACGCCCTCAATAAATATTTAACATTGCAATGGCGGAGGGGGGTGCAGTGGGCACATGCACCTCTTTTAGATTCTTGGTTGCCTTCATTTAAGAAGGTATCAAAATACCCTTTCCTCATTTTTTTCACTGCACGGACAAGACCAAACAAGTGACTATTCTAGTGCTCTGGAGCTAATAATACACTGTTTCATATTCACCTTGCTTTGATCCGCATTTTTTATCCATACCCCCCCCCCCAACTAAATCTCTGGAGTCATAATGCGTGAAGGAACATGATTCCTCATACAAACCCTAAGAAAGAACATTAATTTGGAAATTTCAAATAAAATATCTAATGTAAACATATTAACACACCGATGACAATAATGGCATATCTTGTTATAGACCACCTGTCATAGCGGTCAGTGGCTTCGCCCATAAAACTATTACACTTTTGCCCTTACGACCCGATACAAATGGACGTCACAGTGTGGGTGCGGGTACAATTCCGGAAGCAATCACCACCTGTACCCCCAGCTACCGTAATTGTTTTTCCAATTATAGCCGAGACAAGATATATATAAAGGGTGGACAACTAAATAAACAAGACAATTGTGCTCTGAGGTCCACAAGTAAATTTAGGATTTTTTGAAAGCAACGGAGACAAGTGAGTTTGAACAAAATTAAAGCTGCCATCATGATGCGCTACCTGCTGTGTGCGCTTAGCGCCGTTGCTGCCGTACAATCCCTAACAACATCGCAAATGGAAAACATTAAGGCCCTGCTCGCTAATCTCATTGACACTGCTAACGCCGACAACGAGAGGCCACTGGTTGCCGCTACCGTGCGCCTAGCGTTTCACGATTGCGTTGGGGGATGCGACGGCTGCGTTGACTTTTCGCATGCAGATAACGCCGGACTTCAGACAGTAGTAGGCTTATTAGATGCAATGTATGACGATACATCCAACGGTATCAGCGCCCTGATCTCCCGTGCGGACTTCTACGCTCTGGCAGGTATAGTGGGCGTGGAGGTGGGGGCTTCCTTACAGCTGCGATGTGGCCGAAACTGTGTCAATCCAACCCCCAGCGTCACTTTCCGCTACGGCAGGACAGACTGTAACCCAGCTACAGTCGCCCCGAGGAGCTTTCCTTCCGGTATCGCCAACCTCACAAAGACGCTGCAGTTCTTCGCCAGTGAATTTAGCTTCACGTCTCGAGAAACGGTGGCTCTGTTGGGGGCCCACACCCTTGGGGAAGCTCACCGAGAAAACTCTGGATTCCGGGGCAGGTGGGTTCCTAGGAAAGACTCCTTTGATAACGACTACTTCGTTAAGCTGGCTGACGGGGGTGGTGTTAGCTGGAGTCAGACGAGTTTGCAAAGAGGAACCCTTTACCAATGGAACGGAGACGACGCAAGTGGGCGCGGGCACATGATGTTGAACAGCGACATGGTTCTTTACAGGGATATCAGCCCAAATGCCACTACCGGCCAAACCCTGACTTGCCCTACGAACGTGGCCCTGTGCCCCTATGCCGCCACCAAGGACATTGTGGAGGAGTTTGCAGCCGATAACGCCGGGTGGATGGCGGAGTTTTCCGATGTGTTCGAGAAGATGATCGAACACGGGAGTACAAACCTGCAGCTCCCAGCATAGGGGCTAAAATTTTGTTGTTTAAAAGATATTTTACTTTTCAAATACAAAAATTACCCGCCAACAGAAACTGGCCTATATCTGTTAATTGAAAAATTACATGAATGGTTATGAATAGATGTTCATAATTACGTTTATAATGGACGAAACATGACGACGAGGATTATGATCTGTTCGCTACGGTTCTTGATACATGTATACAATTAATAAATGATTTTCATAGTCTGATAGCTATTCACCAAAATTAACACGACCTTATGATCATTTACATATTTACATAAAGTTTTATTTATTCAGTTTTTATATTAATCTTTTCAACTACATAAATCGGTGGTAGTGTTTTATTTTTTTTCGGGGGGAGGATTACGCTTCTATTATGATTAACTTTACTATATGTTTATTGTTGTTACAATATACATTCCTCTTACAGAGAAAAGTTAATGTCTGTTTTATTGTAAAAAATTCACACTTTATGTTTGAAAGTAATAGCTGTATGGATCACATTAACTGAAAGGTGAAATTAAATAACTATATTTATAACAATAAACGATTTGTTTTCTTTCATTTGAAATGAGAGTTTAATTGATTAAAAATCACAGACATAGATGCTGGATGGAAGAGATGAAGGGAGTTTAGGACCATTTCAATAAGAATAAAGCATTTTCTTTTATTCAATCAACAGCTAATATTACCTCCAATATTCCGCGCCGATGTCTCTCAGAGCATCTTCATCAGGGAATTAAGTATCCATGTGGATAATCTCTATCCAGGAGATAAACCCCGCCCCCTCTAACTGTCTTCAGAAAGGCGGGTATAACATAAAACAGCTGATGAAATTCTCCTCTGACGTTTTAACAAGGTTTTCAGAAAAAAAATCGAGATGCATTATTACGTACCTGGACAATAAGACGCCAAGGGTGGGAGGGAGTGTTTTAGAAAAGAACTTCAGACTGAATTTAGTCTTCGCCTTCATTCCAAAAATTTAGCCTGTTCTATTCATTAGAAAAACGCATGGGCAATGAGTAATATATAACTATAGATCCAAAACATGTTATAAAACTTGTCTAATATGCCACTGAATTGGGCTACTTCTCATTCATCTTTGGTTAAAGTAACCTTAAATTTTGGTGTTAAACATTCGACCAATTTTCAGACAAAAAATTTATTGTGAAGCGGACCCAAGGGTTCACGTCCTCAAGAAAAGAATAAAAAATTGAGACGTTGGCGTAATGTGAAGTGCACATACTTTGGTTTCCTTCATGAAGGATATATCTACCAAAATAAATACTGAAGTAACTGGTGCTGTACATCATTCACCATCTCCTGCCTTTTTTTTCTTTGAAAAAGGTTTAATGCCCTCATTTAAAGGTACACTCCTTGGGTTTGAACCCCTCCAAATGTTTATTTTTGCCATCCACAGCTTCTTATAAAATCTAACATACACCTTAAAAACAATTGAACCTCCTAAATTATTTTTTTCTGGAACGTATCTGATGTTGATGCTTCCATCAAAGCTGAGGAAGATGGCCGCTGATTATAAGACAAGTCATTTTAAACTAAATAAAATTTCAAAAAATTAAATCAAAGGTCGAATTCAAATGCAAAGAGGAATAGATAAATGGTTTGTGAGTGCGAGAAAATTGCTTATTCCCTGGGAAAATCCATTTTGGTGGGTAAATCCCATGAAGTTGCCTATTAAAAGTGCCTTCATGTGAAATTTTATAAGTCTATAACTTAAGATAGACAGCATTTTGTGAAACAAGTCCAAGTAGGGGCTAATGAAACACCTTTATTGACCCGTTTTGAGCGTGTCCACCGCTTAAGTCCAGGATTCTATAACGAGTGAGTTCAATCTAATACCTGCCTTCTATATTTAAATTAAAACAATACGAGTCTCACCCTACCACCACACACACACACACACGCACGCACACACACACACACACACACACACACACATTCACACACACGTGCCAAGCCAATTCGCTCACGAAGCTGACATTTATCGTCTTGTCAATTACACTTGATGTAGGCTTATTACTGGTCATAAGGTATATGTACTTGATGAAAATTATCAGTAGTCCCAAACGTATTGTTGGGGAACTGATAATTTTCATCATAAATATGGCCCAGTATTGGTACGTACCAGAATGTCGTAATCGACAAGGTGGACATTAGTTTCGCAAGGAATCGGAGTTTTGTCTGAAATGGAGGGTTTTCATCAATTGCGTCTGCTCAAAGACAAAACGTCTTTAGAACCCCTGTCTAATTATATAGGTGATCACAGGTGTTAAACACCTACATTCTCCTCACCTGACAGTTAAGATGACACCTCAGACGTTTTTGTTTTTTTTTTTACATGTTATATTTCTGACAAGATATATAAAGGGTGGGCAACCAAATAACCAAGAAGGTATTTTTCTAATCAACAGGGACAAGTGATTTTCAACAAAACAACCACCATGATACGTTATTTGCTGTGTGTGCTCGCGGCTTCTGCCGTGCAATCCCTAACAACGACAGACGTGGAAAACCTTAAGGATTTGCTCACTATTCTTGTTAACACTCAAGACAGCGACGGCGAGAGGCCACTGGTTGCCGCTAACGTGCGCCTAGCTTTTCACGATTGCGTTGGGGGATGCGACGGCTGCGTTGACTTTTCGAATGCAGATAACGCCGGACTTCAGACAGTAGTAGGCTTATTAGATGCACTGTATGGCGATACATCCAACGGTATCAGCGCCCTGATCTCCCGTGCGGACTTCTACGCTCTGGCAGGTATAGTGGGCGTGGAGGTAGGGGCGTCTTTACAGAGGCGATGTGGCAGAAACTGTGTCAATCCAACCCCTAGCGTCACTTTCCGCTACGGCAGGACAGACTGTGACCCAGCAACAGTCGCCACGAGGAGCTTTCCCTCCGGTATCGCCAACCTGACAAAGACGCTGCAGTTCTTCGCCAATGAATTTAGTTTCACGTCTCGAGAAACGGTGGCTCTTCTAGGCGCCCACACCCTTGGGGAAGCTCACCGAGAAAACTCTGGATTCCGGGGCAGGTGGGTTCCTAGGAAAGATTCCTTTGATAACGACTACTTCGTTAAGCTGGCTGACGGGGGTGGGGTTAGCTGGAGTCAGACGAGTTTGCAAAGAGGAACCCTTTTCCAATGGGACGGAGACGACGCAAGTGGACGCGGGCACATGATGTTGAACAGCGACATGGTTCTGTACAGGGATATCAGCCCAAATGCCACTACCGGCCAAACCCTGACTTGCCCTACGAACGCGGCCCTGTGCCCCTATGCCGCCACCAAGGACATTGTGGAGGAGTTCGCAGCCGATAACGCGGGGTGGATGGCGGAGTTTTCCGTCGTGTTCGAGAAGATGATCGAACACGGGAGTACAAACTTGCAGCTCCCAGCATAGGGGTTATATATGGCGTTAGCCCTACCCACGCCACATATACTAAATTATATTGCTGCTGAAAAGATATTTAATTTATTGAAAAACTAGAAGGTTGGTTATCAATGCACAAAACATGACGTGGTGGATTCATCTGTTAGCTAAGATAATTTAACATTAGAATGCTATAGGGCCTATTTTAAAGTTATTTTCATCGTTCGATTGCTAATCACCAAAATTAACTCCATAAAGTTTTATTTATTTGGTTTATGTTCTAATCTTATCAAGTAGATTGATCAATTTTATTTTTTTGTTTACGCTTCTTTTATCACCAACTTTATGTAGTGTCATTGTTACTATACATGTATACATCCCTCTTGAAAACAAATGTTAGCATCTGGTATATTGTAAAATATAGTTTATGTTTCGAAATAAAAACTAACTGTATGGGTAACATTAACTGAAAAGTAAAATTAAATAAATATATATAGTCCTATATAGAAATAAACCAGTTGTTTCCTTTCTCTTAAAATAAAATTTTCACTGATTTAAAATTCGAGACAAAGATCCTGGATGGAAGAGTAGAAGGGCTTTTAAGACCGTTTAAACAAGGTTTTAACCAGGTTTTTATAAAGAAATTCGAGATGCTTTATTATGATCTTGGACAATAAATGACTAAGGGCAGTGACCAAGGTGTGTGTGTGTGTGTGTGTGTGCTTGGGGGGGGGGGGGGGGGTGAGGTCACAAAATTTTAGATCGAAGTTAGTCCTTACTTTTATAACAAACATTTGATCCATTTTGATCCGGAAAAAATGTGCATGAAAGATTGTAGATCTAAAACATGCTATATAATTCTTCTCATTCATCTCTTGTCAAAGTAGACTTAAATTGGTGAAGCAGGCACCATGAAGGCGTTATTTTCTTAGAACGAGTGTCATTGGGATTGAGCTCTAAAATGATATAAGTTATCGGATATAATTCCCTGGTTAAAGCTAAGCTAAACGCCCCTCACCCTAAATAAAACACACACGCACGCACGCACACACACACACACACACACACACACCAGCATGGGTCAAGCCATGTCGCTCACGAAACTATCGATTACCGTCTAATAAATTATACTTGATGGAGGTTAATTGCTGGACATAAGGAACATGCTGGTCTACCGGTGTTCATTGGATTCTTCAATGACCAAAATAACGAGCTATCAACAATGACCCTCATGCTAATTATTGATAAACGGTTGGTGCACGTGCTGACCGAGAAGCAAACAATAACAATTTGCATGATACAAACATATGTGCTTATTTCACTGATTGAAGGTGACCACGGCCCAATGTTGACATCAAGCTTTTCCTTTTCCATTCATTTGAGCCATTGCATGCATGTACGTGTTTCTTTTCCTTTTTTTTTCAGATCAGATAAAAGTTGCATTGGACTATCACTGTAATCGTTTATTACAAAAGAGTTTGATTCACCGAAAGAAAAGGGGAATATACAAACGAATTAGAATTTTACAAAAGATTTTGTTAATTTTTTTCTTATTTAGATAAAATCATTTTCATAAATAGGCCTTCTTTTCCCGGTTAATACCGACTCCCAGCAACCTTACTATAGGCCTATACGTGCTTGCTGATAGCTTTAACATTTGCCTCACTTTTTTTGTCTTCGTAACTTTTTTGTCCTGGTAACCGCGCGGTATAGGCCTACCATGTACTTGGCATGTTTTTTGTAAGACCGAAAACTGCAGCAAGCTTTACTTATGGAACGCAGCAATTATTTTTCAGTTTATATAGCCCTACTCTGCTTCATATAGGCCTACCACCAGTCGACGAGTAAGGCCTTACACTGAGAAAAGCCAATAGATATCTACTTCCTTGGCCAAAGCATCAATCGCAATCATAGGGCTTAGCCGCGTGCTTATTCATTGAACATCACGAAGAAGTATGCTTATCAAAGCTTCACGCGCGTCACTCTCTACTACATTTCAAAGATGGCCGATCAAAGGCTGACAAAATATATTTTGCGGATAATTTTTCTTGGTCTTGTCATATTTGACGAAAGTAGGTGCAGGAATCACACACTGACGATAAAGGTAAATGATTTATTTGTGTGATATGAATTTAAACGTATAGTTTAACACTGCAGATAGAAGAACGATTCAGACTAATTCAACTAATTCAACCTCCAGCTGCTTCCGCGTAGAGCATAGTGACAAACGTGTTGCGCTGCTGCCACTGTTTTCTACAGAAACAGTACACCCTGTCATCACCCCTAGCTGACTGGGCTATGTCACTGGGGCTGTCTCTGATCTTCTGCAGCCAGCGGGGAAGAACTCGGTCACGACATGGTTTAAGGCGGTCGTGATTTGTAACAAACACTGAATTACGTACCTTTATGCGGAAAACCGCTCCAGAAAGCTTTCCAACAATAATCCCGGGGCCTCTCCATAGAGGAGATAGCTTTTTACACTTGCCTTTTATTACAGCAGTGTCCAGGATGTACACAGGGTCCCCCACCTGATACGCGCGTTCCAGCAGACGCAGATCATGGTCCCTTTTCATGCGGTTAGAAGTGGCCTTCATGACCATCCGAGCTGTCTCATGTGCTCTCTGGAGAGTGGACTCCAATTCATTCACATATGCCTCAGGTGATTGTGGTTGGCTCGCCTTCAGGGGGAACATTAGACTTGCAGGCGTGTTAACCTCCCTACCCAGCATCATCATGTTGGCAGAGAACCCAGTCATACGATTAACTAGATGATCGCAGGGCACCAGCAATCTGTTGCAGATGTACGTCCCACTGCTTCTGGGATTTGCCAACAAAACACAGTACAGCATCCATGAGGGTGCGGTTGTAGCGCTCTACCTGCCCATTCGCTGACGGCCTGTAAGGGGTAGTCCGGGTCTTGTGAATTTCAAGGACTTTGCACAGTTCAGCGAACAGCCTAGACTCGAAGTTTCTCCCCTGGTCTGTGAGGATCTCCATGGGGGTTCCAAACCGAGAGAAGAAATGGTTCACTGCTGCTTGTGCAGTTTCTTGTGCTGATTGTGATGGGACGGGAATGCACTCCACCCATTTTGTGAACTGATCCACAATCATCAACACATATTCATTCCCCTGAGCTGTCTTTGGCAGGGGGGCCAGGAAGTCTAGTTGGAACCGCTCCATGGGGGCTCCTGCCTGAAATTCTGTCAGAGCACATTTGCCTTGTCGTGTTGTCTTTTTGTTCTGGTTACACAGAGGACAACCGACCACATACCTGGACACATCACGACTGAGGCCATACCAGAAGAACTTCTCTTTAACTCATTCCGTGGTACGGGCCACCCCTTGGTGTCCAGCAGAGGGCAAGTCATGGTGTAAGGCTATCGCTTGCTCTGTCATGCTCTTTGGAAGCACCAAGAATTTATCTTCTGAGTTAGGGTCTGTGCGATACAGCACCCCATCTATTTGGACCAATAATTCCTTATTCAGCCAGTAGTGCTTAGCAGCGGGGCTAGCTCTAAACAAAGCTGAGGAATCTGGTACAGACCCATCCTCTAACCATTGCAGCACAAAGGTGAGGTCCGTGTCTTTGGACTGGGCCGCCTTTAAATCCTCAACGCTGTACCCCCAACTCGTACGGAGTTGTCCATTTTCAGCAGATGAGGGTATTGGACCCGACCCATCCTGATTACCACTATAACTAGAGCTCCGGGTGCCTACCATGTTTACACTAGGAGTATCCTCGCTAGTTTCATGACCCCAGGGAATGATATCCAATGCATCGATCAATTTCCCCACACACTCTGAACCATCTACAGGTAGCACCTCACCAAAAGGCTGGGTCTCATCCACATAGGTGGATAACTCCTCACTTCCTTCCTCTTCCCCATGGACGTTACCCAGAGGTCCCTGACAGACCTCTCTAACAGCCCTGACCTTCCCGTCGTGATCAGTGACAGGAACCCTTGACTGTGAACCCATGTTCCCCAAGGGAACAACCTCGTCCACCTCCTGGAAGAATGAGTGCCAACTCTCGTGGGCCTTGGTGCAGTACTTGCACCCTCCACATGGCAACTCTTCTGGCCTTACACCAGCATGGAGACCAGAGCATGTCTGTCCCCCAAGGGGGGTTATCGACAATGCAGTGTCCCCATCTGTGTCCCCAGACGTAACCACTGGCAACTCTTCCAGTCGTGCTCCCGCTCGGTCAGCTGAGTATGTCTGCTCCCCGCAGGGCATTCTCGACAATGCGTCAGCATTACAGTGCTCACGACCCGCACGGTACTGCAGTACCATATTGTACTGAGATAGCTCCTCCAGCCATCTCGCCAGTTGCCCCTGTGGCTCACGGAAGTGCAACAACCACCTCAGACTAGAATGATCTGATCTTGCTATAAAAGGTTTGCCCAGCAAATTATGGCGGAATTGTCTGGTGAATCTGACTACCGCCAGGAGCTCCCTGCGTGTCACGCAGTATCTTTTCTGCTCCTTCGTGAGGGCGTAGCTTCCATAAGCTACTACTCGCTCTTTGCCACCCTGTACCTGGATCAACTCTGCCCCAATAGCGTGATCCGAGGCATCAGTATCCAGGATGAACTGATCTTCCAGGTTAGGCAACGCCAGAACTGGGGACTCAGTCAGAGCTTTCTTAAGCGAATCAAAAGCTGTCGACTGCTCAGTACCCCAGACGAACTTACTCTTTGCGGTCACCGCATATAGGGGTGCTGCTAACTCAGAGAAATTCTTTATAAACCCTCTGTGATAGTTAGCCAGACCCATGAACCTCTCCACCTGCTTGGCACACGTGGGAGTTGGCCAATCACGCACGACCGCAATATCATTCTCAGACATGGACAAGCTGTCCGAGCTCACTCGTCTGCCGAGGAACTCTACTTCCTTCTGGAAGAAGACACTTCTTTGGTTTCAGTTTCAGCCTGTACTGGCGAAACCGGGCCAAAGCGTCCCTGAGATTGGACATGTGATCCTCAAAACTCCTCCCCAACACGAGGATGTCGTCTAGGAAGGCAAGAACTGTTTTCCAGTTCAACCCCCGGAGGACCAAATTAATAGCTCTAGCGAATGTCGCGGGAGCCCCGCATAGGCCGAACCCATACGCACATGTTCAAAAAGACCATATCGCGTTATGAACGCAGTCTTTTTGCGATCCTCCTCCCGGATCTTTAACTGAAAATAGGCGGAATAAGGTCGCGCGACAAGGTTATTTTCAGTTGCACCCTGGATTACGCACGCTTGCTCCGCAAGGTGTCGCCTGTGGTGGGGGGGGGGGGGCAGAACAGCCCATGTGGTTACTGTGACGAAGGTGACAAGTACTTCCAAACATATGTCATAACTGTCATTATACCTCATTCTATACACAAATTTGATATTTACGGCAGTGGAAAATGTGGCACTGGCAAAAGTGGGTCTTGGTGCGTTGACAGGCCGCACAGGTGTCCCCAATTAACCGCCGTCAGAGAAGAGACCCCAAGCATTAAACAGCACGGCCTGTAGATATTGGAAATTTGGCAAAAGTTAAGCAACTTTGGCTTTATTAGATTTGGGCAGAAATCGAGAGGGATGTCCAGTGACATGCTGTCTTGGCCCTTGACACCAGTAACGCACCCCTAAGTCAAGAATCTGAACAAATCAATGTTGGGCAGGTGTGCTCTATTTTCTACAGGCGTTTTGTGATTTTATCAACTTGATTGTCAAGTGCCAGACCTTTTGTTCCCAGGAACTAGTAGCAAACTTTATCAGATAACAATCTGACACTAACCACGCTGCACTAACAGCGCTGTAAACTCAGTTATCAATGCTGTCATCTTTACCTGTATCTTTACCGGTATTATGCCAGTGATACGTTTGCTACATTTGAGTAAGGAAATATGCTTTGATGCTTATTTGATGCTTTATTTGTAATACGTTAGCACCAACCAGTTAATAAAAACTTGAAAACTGTCAATGTTATTTCACAATAACAGTATATGATTAAATGCAAAGAAGAAATAATAAAAACAGATTATGTGAAATATAAAATGAATTAATTTTATTTAGGTTATTTATTTATTTGTTTCAATCCAATTAGTTATCAAACATGAAGCTTATTTTTAGAAACATTAACAGATATTACTGCAATATAACCCTGCTGGTACACAGATCTAGTTCTAAAATGCAAATTCCTTTCACACACCACTGATGAAATGTGAATAATCATATGTATAAAGCAGTAAAAATATCACAAATTGTGTGTAGGCAAGATATTTCTACAAGTAATCTCATTAATCAGTCGGGAAACTTCATAATGCATTCAATAAATGTAGAAATTTGCGCAAAAGAAATTCTACATACAGGCATGACAGATTTACCATATATTGCCACCAACCCTTAACTGAATGGGCATAGAAAGAACAAAGTGAGTCTCCCACCCATTAAAAAAGAATAATAAAAAAGTAATTAATTAAAAACAGATAGGCCTACTGTCAGTCTTAATACTGAAAAACAATAGCACCTTGCAGCCTTCACTGCCTCACTATTTGCAGACAATGTTCTAGTCACTGTAACTGTGTACTTTTGAGGAGGCATAGACGCAAGGATAACTCCTTTGAAGTATATTGTGAAGGTCTCTTTTGTCATAAATCTGCCACGTATAACCTGAACGTACATACTGCAATTCACACCGCAGCAGCTTGTCTTAGTAAGGACTCAACCAGTTGAAAACTTGAGGCACAGCTTCAGGGACAAGATCACACCATCTACCCTTGCTGTGATGATGGATCTACTAGTACATTATCTATGTCTTGTCCTCCTAGTTTCTCTAGAACCATTTCCCCTGATCTATGCTCACATCAATCTCTACAGCTTTACCAACAGCTACACAGTTTTTACATCTGGAAGTAGGCTAAAGTAGAAAGCCAAAATTGTAATAAAGCACTATCAATTTACTTGTTATATATTGATTTGAGGGCAAGAGAAAATGGCAGAAACCTTGAATCATAATCAAGATAACTGAAAATCATAATCAAATAGCTTTAATTGTATATACTACTGATGATTTAATATTTTAAACTTCAGCATAAATTTTGACTTTCTCTTGTTAAAGCATAGCCA